TGAAAAGGCACCCAAAGCTCGGATAGGTGGTCTGCTTCCAGGAGAAAGAAGAACACCTGCTGGCAAGCACGGCTCTAGACCACCTCACACACATGACCCCTGCTGGTGACAGACTCAGCCCAGTCGGGCTTGTCACAAAGTGCGCACGCAGGTACCAGGTGTCTCGTCACCCAGGGCCTCAGCGGTACACAACTCCCACATCACTGCTTCTGCCTGGCTGGCCCAGCTTCCAGAAGGAGCTGGGCCAGCACCCAACAGGGCCCGGTGTGGGAGCCCAGGACCAGAGGAAGGGCAGCCCACAGGGAGTGTGATCATGAGACAGCACCGCTGCTCATTGTCCAGGGCACATCGGGGCCATTCAGATGGACGGAGCCCCAACCCTGTGCCAGTTCTCATGCTACCGATGGGCCTAACCACTCACCAAGCAGGTAAATTAGTCAACAGCTCTGCATTCTGTCCAGACCCGAGTGCGGCAAGTGGATTGCCCCTCTTAGCCGGAAAGCGGGTGGTCAGTATCTAACCCACAGCACTGCACAAGAAAGGCCTGGTAACCAGCTAGCCTAAAGTAGCGCGACAGACCCGCTCTGCTCTGCAACACACGGGGTGGTCAGCAGTCAGAACTGGCTCAGAAGCAACGGTGTGTCTTGGTGTGCGTCAGCATCGAACTGATGGCCAACAGGTTTCGGTTTTCTTGTTTTCTGAATGTCGCGATGCCAGCTCCCTGGATAGTGCACATGGTTAGAGGGCTCAGCTGCAAACCTAAAGGTTGAAGGATCAAGCACAGAGGACAGGCCTAGTGGTGCCTCCAAAGGGCTGCCATGGAAACACTGCGGATCACAGTTCTGCTCAGACATGCCCGGCGTTGCCAGGAGCCGGACAGGACTCAGCACCAAGGGTTGTGTTTTATGTATTTATTTTCTGATGTCATGTCCAACAGTAGGAAATGAGCTGAGGAAAAGTTAAGGGGTCAGCAGTTGGTGTAAGACATGGGGGGGGTGTTTTATAAATTATCAAGGGTTCATGAGGGACGGAGGGAGGAAGGGAGTGAGTGAGGGAGGGGGGATGAGGAGCTCCTATCAAGGGCTCAAGGAGAAGGAAAATGCTTTGAAAATGATGATGGCAA